AGTAATAAATTACACACACTTTTTCTTCTCTGTGTACTGGCTGGAAAAGTTAACTTTTTGAAAGTAATCATTAGATCAGATTTCTGTTTTGAGGCAAAAAATATAAGAATTAAGAATTACTATGTCATCTTGAAGGCTTGATCATTGCCAACAGTGGCATTATTTCAGTGCCAAGCTAAAATATGGTTCTTCATGAGTTTAAGGATATGACTTGAATTGATTAATGAGTTCATTTATTAGTATCTGATTTTAAGTGGTCTAAATTGCTCTGAAATGCTTCTTGTTGCAACTGCCTTCAGATGTTTTGATTAAAAGTCTGGGGTATATATTTTCAAGCACACCATATCTCCACATGCACATGCACATAAATGCCCAGAATCCAAATGAATATTTGTGTTAGCCTAAATGCAGTAGTGTAACTTGTAATAGTGAAGAGCTGCTTATTAAAAAGTCTTTTGACTGAATTTTTAGTCGTGAGCTGAGTCATGTAACTGGTGCACAACTAGGCATTCATTCACAGACTCTTCAATTAGTGGTTATTTGCCAGTTTAATTATTCAGTTGGATTCTGGCCAATATATGTCATCTATTGTTTTTGCTCTTCCTATGTGTGTACATAAAAGAGAAATGCTGAAAGATGAAGGTTTCAAACGAGCCACCTAAAGGCTAGATTTGGGTTGAAAACTGCTCAGATCACAACTTTCCTTCTCACCCCCTACCCTACAGCAGCTCACAAGAAAATGTATTTCTCTTTCTCTGAAGGTAAAGATTCAAAGCCAGAAGGAGCAGCTCCTTCTCCAGTATCCTTGGTACCAGAGGAGAAAGTTTCTTTGGGGCTTTATGCACTCTCTGTTTCCTCACTGACAGTGGCAAAGATTAGAAAAGTTTATAACAAATTGGATAGTAAGGCTATAGCCAAGCAGGTAAGTTTGAAAACATCCAAGATGTGGAATGGCTGGTTTTTATTAATTGAAGAACTGGTGTGATATATAGCTGTGGGCAGAACTGAACACGACACATCAGCAGACACTGCTTTTCATTATGAGTGAATGCTCAGGAATGTGTGGGCAAGCACAGTTATGCTGGTCTATTTGTGTATACATGGAACCCACACATGTATTCTGGTACTGCTAGTTTGTTACTGACGTGCTTCGGGTTCTGATGTATTTAGTTGTTTAGTAACTTGGCTGTAAATAAACTGCAGATTGTCCATTAGTAGTTAATGCCTAAATATGTTCTCATAACCTCTTGCATATTGCAGAATGATGACTGATCTGAGCTTACTAGAATTTGGGAGTTGCTCTAGACTTGGATTAGTTCTTGTTTCTACAAATGCTATCATTTCTTTTTGAAGATATTCATAATTATAGGTTAGACAAAGCTTATTCTGAGCAGCCATGAAATGCATTTAAAGAGGTACCTTAACTCTGAAAATGGAGACAAATTGAACCATGTTCGCTAATCACTTATTGAAAGGTTCCAGAGAAAATGTTGTTTGTCTTTTCATAGTTCTGTTAGCTCAGAACTTTGACTACATTAATTCTTGAAGTTCTCTTCTTGGGTCACACTATTGGTCTATTAAGTCCAGAATTGTCAAATATGACCAATAGTAATGTGACTCTCAGCCTTAGCCTTGGTATTTGCTGATAATCTCCCATCCAAATATTAACCAAATGATCCTATTTAGCTTCCAAAAATCATTCAATATAGGAAATTCAGGGTAATATTATGAATGTATTCAAAATTTGATCTGGCTGGTTTACTCTCCGTTAGTGCTGAGTAATGTTCTGCCATTTCATTAAATTGAGTAACACATGTTTTCTCAATTTTGATTAGTTGGTTGTTTCATCTCATGAGAATGCCACTCCAGTGAAACTGCTCCACAATTCAGCAGGACATTTGAACGGACCTGCACGTACAATTGGTGCAGCTCTGATAGGATACTTAGGTAAGATGAGGTTCATCTTTTCCACATGTTTCATTTAATGGTTTAGTACAATTTTAAATACATTTCAACTGTGATCCAGAGGCTGGTTTGCAGGCTTCCAAGTTCTCAGATCCGTATACATTTCTTTTTTTATTTGAGTAGGTGAACTCTTGTCTGTATATGTTCTCAGATACCATGAACACTTGGGGCATTGAATCATCATACCTTTTAGCTTGCCCCTATGATGTTGGCTTCTTCTACAGAATAAAAGTAGAGATGGGAATATTTGTATTCGTAAACTAATATGAATATTCTGTTCCAGCTGGACCTAATGAGGATCCAGCCTCCAGGACCCGCCTGTCCACTCACGTGTCCCAGGGCCACAAAGGTCCTGCTCTTCCCACAAATGGCGCCAGGAGCTCTACTCTCTTCCTACTCAGCTGGCCGCTCCAGGCAGGGGTGGGAGGATGAGTCTCCCCACATGGCTGCTGAGTCAAATGATCACCTCTTCCTGCTTTTTGTTAAAGCAGAGATGGGGAATATGTTGATCCCACAGACATTGCTTTGCTATATCTCCCAAATCCCTCACCACTTACTGTGCTGCCTTGGACTGACAGGAATTACAGTTCAACAGTATCTGTAGGGCCATGGATTTCTGAACTGATTTTTTTTTTCATTTCTTGTTTGCCAGTGGTACTGAAAAGAGAAATACTGTGATTCTCCTTTAAGGTATAATAGAAATATAGTATTTTTCCATAAGTATTGAACATATTTACTAATTGCTCATTAAGGGTTTTTCTTTGGAGAAGCAGAGATGAAAACTGAGAGAAACTGAGACGTTAGTAGTCTTTCTTTTTCAAAATGATTATTGTAATGTAATTTTATGTATTAAATTTCTTTTACGGATTTCACCCCTTATGCTCAGGAGTAAGAACATTTGTCCCTAAGCCAGTTGCCACTACTCTACAGTATATTGGTGGAGCAGCCGCCATTCTTGGCCTGGTAGCCATGGCATCAGATGTAGAAGGACTTTATGCTGCTGTGAAGGCCCTCGTGTGTGTGGTGAAAAGCAATCCTCTGGCTAGCAAAGAAATGGAAAGGATCAAAGGTTACCAGGTGTGTGTGAAGTGAAACAGAGCAGCTCCTACGGATTGAATGTGTAAATTACTTTGTTCTGCAGGCATTGATACTTAAAAATATCCATAATGCATTATTTAAAATCAGTTGCGCGGTGTAGATGTGTGTGTACTGTAAGATTTTTGGATAGTGACAGCTTTGTGGTTAAACTGAAGCTCGGTGAGGGTCAAATCTGTGACATCTGCTAGCTCAGCAGAGACTCTTATCAGCTGTCAAATCAAAGGAAAAAACACACAGGAGCCTGAAGAGAAATAAATGAAAAGGAACTTCTATTGTTGTTGGCGTAATCAAGGGCACAGCACCATCTGTGCTTGCTGAAGGACATTTGTAGCCAACACAGGGGTGGAGTTAATTTGCCTGTTATTTAAAAACATACTAATTGTATTGGCCAAATAAAAGAGTCTCTTCCTACTAGATGGGAATGACTTTCCGTCTTGGGAGAGGAGTCGCTAATTTGAAACAAAACCAAGATCAGTTGTGCTATAGTGATGCTATTGTCTGTATCATATAATGTAGAAAGAGGATTTTTTGCGCAGTTGGCCCATTTTTACCTGTCGCAAATGGACTAAAAAAATAAGAGATTGCCATTATGAATTGTAATCAGCAGTAGAGCAGAGACTTGGATCGTGCTGTGAGTCCACTTCATTGCTCGCCCTGGCATTCAATAAGTACCAAAAATTATTGCTGGCTGAAAATTTTTAAAATAGGATTTGGCAAGGTCTGTAAGGCAGATCTTTCATTTACATATGTAGAAGTGCATTAAAACTCTCAGGGCACGAGTACAGGCTTTGCAAACTATTATTTCTTCCATCCTGTAACAATTATTTTTTTTTAAAAAAAAGCCAAGTACTGTAAACATTTTAAAACCTTAATGTAATGGATTTAGAAATTCTGGTAAATGTGTATTTCAAAATGCAGCTGCCTGCTCCTTCCTCAGCTCCCTATTACGTCCTCGTGAATGACCAAACATTAAGACTCTCACGGCTGAATTTCTTTTTCAACCACTGAGGTGTTTTTTTTTCCTTTTGAGAAGTATGGCTTCTGTGCAGAACTAATCACTAGCAAAAATCAGAACATTCTTTTTTACCTTCAGAATGCCTGCTACTTGGAGTTACTGTCAATTTCATCTCATTCTCCTTTTTCATTGTAATGCTTGTATTAAATTTATCACAAAAGAATATATATACTTGGTCTTTGAACTCAAGGAAGCCTGGCTATATGAATAGTTCTGCCATGCTATATGATAATGTTTTATTATGCTTGAATGAAGTTGATATTTCCTTTGTCTGGAAAATACTTTGAGGATTGTGAAAGATGAAAACCTTGTCACTAAGTAATCATGTGTTGCCACGTATTATTTCAGTTATTGGCAATGTTGTTAAAGAAGAAGCGTTCCCTTCTGAATAGTCACATTCTGCATTTGACCTTTTCCTTGGTGGGGACTGTTGACAGTGGGCATGAAACATCCATTATCCCAAATTCAACTGCTTTCCAGGATCTGCTTTGCGACTTCGAGGTATGTAGGGCATCGCTAAATGTTCGAAGTTATTTGGATTGATAGCAAACTGTGGACAGCTGGGTTTCTTGAGAGACAAAGTACACTACACAAAAAGATTGCCTTGAGGCATCTAATATTTCATGTGCAGTGCAGAGTATTTTGTGCACCTGTCTTACAGAGAGACACTAATGTACCAGCCATAGTGATTGATTATAATGTGAGCTGCTAAAAAAACATTGCATTATTTTGTGTGTGTGTGAAGGAGGTTGTTTAGGGGTTGGTTGGTTGTGAGCTTAGCTCAAGAATCTGACAGAAAAATCTTCTTTGAAATAACACAAGATGAACCACAGAATAAAAGCTTTCCTACAGCAAAACACATTGTTGCTATTCTTTTATGGAAGTACAATGTGAAAAGCTTTATCCTGTGCTTAAAAACTGACATTTTTTAAATGGAAGATTGAGTGTCAGATTTGACTTCTATTAAGGCCAAGATGAGGCAAAAGCCCAAAAAGAGAACAAGGCATATGTTCACCTGCAAAGAACAGGAACAACTTGTTTGTGATGACCAGTATGTTGTAGAAGACAGAATTCTCTGCTACAACTCAGGAGGCTTGGCTTCAAATCCTTACTTGGCCATGGAAATGTGTGGGAGGTGGCAGTGGTAAACAACTGATTTACTCATTTCAGAAAGCCACCCTGGTCTGGAAATTTCATAGGGTCAAGGAGTGTCACCTAACCTGCTCAAGCCTGCTTCTGTGCAGAACTACTACCAGTGACTTCTGGCCTTAGTGGAGAGGATATGTTACTTCACCATTTTGGGATGTGGGATCTCCCCTGCTTTGGTCCTGAGCTACCTGTGAAGACAACTCTACCCACATAGCTGGTCTCCCTGCAGCTCTCCTTTAGCCAGCACTAGATCAGATAATCTTTGCTTGATTTCTTTTAAATTTTCTATCTAAGGCCCCATTGCAATCTGCATAAAGGTTTTGGAGTGCATGCCGTATTAGATATAGGGCTTGCTTTGGCAGGAGAGATTCATCCTGTGAATTGAATTTGTATCGGCTTTACATAGGATTTACTTTTTTGTCTATTCTTTTGTTGCTTCTGTCTTAATAACACTACAGATTTATCTCATAATTAAGCAAAATTTGAGTAATATTGACAACTTGCAGATAACAGCGTTGGCTGAGGCTGTAGCATTAATCTTCACGTGGACAGTCACAGTAATTTTTTTTATATAACTGGATAATGAAAAGTAAATCTTGTTGACTTCTAGCTGGTATTGAGCTGGAAGATCGTTCTTTAATGTTAGTTCTCTGGGGTTTTCATTGCTTGATTAGTGATCTGACAACTGTGATCTGGTAATGACTCAATATTATGATAATGTCACTTAGCTACCAGTACACTGTTAATTAGTAATAATTTGCTTCTGTAACTTAAACCATTTCACTTATACAAGTGTAAATTGCCAGTTGGGTTCTAGCTAATGCCCCTGATACTTCTAGTCTGCAGCAATTTGGCTAAAACAAATGGTTTATGACAAATATACTTCAATTGTATATTTCACATTACAGGTTTGGCTGCACGCGCCCTATGAACTTCATCTTTCATTGTTTGAACATTTCATTGAACTTCTTACTGAATCCAGGTAATACATGATAAAGTTGATATTGTAAACAAAAGGTTAGAAGGCCGTATTATAATCTGTATTGCCGTGCATCTTTGTAAGCGGTCTTTCAGTATTGTCCACAGAAAAGACCCAGTAGGGAGGGAATTAATTCAAACAAATATGATTTCACTTTTGATACTGTATTCTTGTTACATGGTATGATCTTAAACAACGAGATTTCTTATATCTGTCTGTGTACTGTACTATGCAGTGAATTTTGAGGTTGATATGCTCTTTAAAACTGATTTAGGGGCTGAAATCTTTTTGCTCAGCATACTAAGTCACACTAGACTAGGTCCATAGCATCAATTGGAATTTGTTAAGTCCACTTCGGTGTAATTTGCACAGATTCAAATGGGCTACTCTAATGATGATTTACTAAAGCAAGTCAGGACTAAATTAAGATCTTTTGAATTAATGGAACTTACGGAGAAGATGATTCACTAAATCCCCACTGGTTCAGTGGACCTATTCTAATGTGACTTACTACATTAAACAAAAGAATTGCAGCCCAAATATTTGTCAACAAAAGCTGTAGTACTAAGGATAGCTAAAATCAGTGAGAATTTCTTAGGCTTTTTTTTTATTATGTCTTTTTTTTTCCAGTGAAGCAGCAAAGAATGCAAAATTGATGAGAGAGTTCCAGTTAATCCCCAAGCTCTTGCTGACTCTTAGAGATATGTCTTTGTCTCAACCAACAATTGCTGCTATTAGCAATGTATTGAGCTATTTGCTTCAGGGATTTCCAAGCAGCAATGACCTACTCAGGTACCATGGAGATCTACTCCGAGCTTTTCTTCCTGCATAAATGAGAGAGAGTACTTGCATGTCTCTGTGTAAGGGCAAATTTTCTTTCCTGGTGTTTTATTATTTCCCTTGCATTGTGATATAGTTTTTGTATGAAAGAAGTTTGCCATAAAAAGCAATTTTTAGAATCTACTAGCCAGGAAAAGACAAACATTGCCAGTTTAATTTTTATTTCTGGATGCTGTAATTGTCAGTTACAGTGACTATAACTTCTAACTTGCTAGAATTAATTTCAGTTAGGATGTACAGTATCAGTTCCTCCCTCTTACTTAAACTGTCATAATTATTATATTTATATATGTTTTATAGTATCTATAAACATTTTTGTTAGCCAGCATAGCCAGTTTTACATATGTATGCCCATTTCAAAATATGCAAATCTGAAGCTGCTTTGTAAATATCAGAATCTGATTTTTTTCAATAGTATTTTAGTAGTACTTTTAACTCTGCAGCTAATGCTAATTAACGACAAATTAAACTCCATCTGTCACACAAGTGCATGGTATTTCCCCCTCTATCCATCAAGGTTTGGACAGTTCGTCTCTTCTACTTTGCCTACATTTGCAGTCTGTGAGAAATTTGTAGTCATGGAGATGAACAATGAAGAAAAGCTTGATACGGGTAAGTAGTATCAGGTTATCGGGGAAACGGTGGAAGAACTCAGCTGAGACATGTTCTCTCATTCGCATGGAAAAATATCCTTTGCTGTAGTCTTGTGATGCCTAAGTTTGAATTTATTATTTAAAAAATAAATGTGCATTTACAACTTGAATTGTGATTGATAAAAAGTGCACAAATAGTCCTTTCACTTCCATTCAACCTGACAGACAGTCCTCCCACCTTTCCTCTCCTACTTGATTTGAACAGCCTGGCTTTTGTGTCCCACTGAATGAAAGTCAAAGCCTGCATGATTTTAGATGGGCTGCACCTTTTGTAAGGAGATCTTAAGGACACAGCCCTGTGGAGGTAGTTCTGTTACATATGTTAGCAGCCTTGGATATTTTGGGGTCTAGCACTGCTCCTCGATGACCCCATTGACAGCTGTGAATAGCAGTGCTTTAGCTTAACTTTTTTCACTGATACGAAGAATACTTACTAAATTCCCTGAACAAAAACGGAAAGGGTAGGTGTGGTCCCAAAGATTACACAAATTTAAGAGTAGGTGATATCTTTTATTCAGCCACTAAAAAATAAAACAAATAGCAAGCCTTTATGGATGAAATTCACTTTCTCAGGCTCTAAGCATATCCCCTTCATGAATGGTGCAGAAATCATGTTTATTTAGGCTATCTTCATACCATAGGATACACCACTGTGCCCAAGCTCCACATATTTCTTTGTCTCCAGGTGTGAGGCAGGAGTGAAAGAAGGAGTGTGTATTTATGATGTCAAGATTTCTGCAGTTCGCACACAGTGGCTGGAATCGTGTTTCCGCAGTTCTGCAGAGTAAGGCTGATGATGTCATCAGGAGTAGGGACTTTAAACTTTAATTAAAAACCTTCTACCCCAATTCCCAGATTATGAGGCTCCCTTTTGACCTGGGGAAGCCTTTGGGAACCTTGGACAGTTAAATGTTTCTGTGTGTGCGAGAGAGCCATTCATGTCTGAAAATCATGGTCAGCTATGGAAATTTTCAGATACGAAAGGCTCCCATCCATCTCAAGGCTCGCAAAGGCATCTTAAGTTCAAATACAGTACATGCCTAGGGAGCCTCATCACCTGAGAGAGGAGTATAGGATTTTTTTAATTAACAAAGTCTATAGCTGATGATGTCATCAGCCATGAGGAGCTGTGTGAACAGGATTCCAGCCAGTGTCTCTGCAACCTCCTGCATAAATTATTGTCTTTTCCCATCAACAAGCAAAGCACGTGCACAGAAGGACGGGCTCACTGTTTTAAAAAAAGATATGAACAGCCCAACCAATGCTTTTGAATCTTGGAAGTCCACACAACAAGGCAGCACGAATTGTAGTTTTGAGTAATTTGTGCAGTTTGCTCCTTGTATGAGTTCATACAATATTTCGCCGTCTTGCAAGAAAACTTATGCAATTCCTCAATCTTGCGTTTGAAGATGAGAGGAGATTTACAATGCCTAGTTTTGTGTCTCTTCCTGGAACAGATTAATTCAGCCACAGTGATCCTTGCCTTAAGCACATGTTTAGATTATTGCAACTTGCTTTGCTTGGCAGTTACAGCTCATGCAAAATGCTGCAGACAGATTGCTTTCTGCTGTACACTTTAATGAATTGCACTATGTTTTAATTTGTCCAGAGTCCAGTACAAATACATGTTTTTACCTACACAGCTGTATGTGGTGTGAAGCCATTTCTACCCATAAGAACTTGACTATAATTTAAGATCTTCTTTGGGGATCTGTCATGTGGCCCATCACCAAGAGAGATTAGTTTGGTGAGAACCTGAAGCACAGCATTTGCTGCAGCACACTCCAGTTTTGGAACTGCCTCCCTAATGAGGTTACTTGGTTGTATCCCTGCTTATTTTCTAGCAGCAATAAAAATGTTTCTGGCTCTATTAGAATTTTAATATTTTTCAATGTTGGGAATCTGGGATGTTGCAACAGTAAATTCAAAGGTAGCTCACTCTCTAAGGGCCCAGGTAGAGCAGAAAGACAATTTATAAATACTGTAAGTAACATCAGCAAAAGTGTCCAGGTAATTGTGGTCAAAGAGGACACATCCAATTGAACTCCACTGAGTCCTTTTACATGTAACTTTCTCAAAATTTCTTTAGCTGTTTTGTATACTAGAATAGTAAGAAAAAGTTGACTCCATTCATTTTTCCTTTTTGAATTTTTTTTTAAAGTAAGGAAACCATTTTGAATTTATTTTCTAAAATGATACAGTGGTCCCAAGAAATTCCTGTTCACAGCCCCTGACTTTGGCTTGTATCATAAAAATGTAGGCCTATGCAAAACAAGTTTCATTTATTAAAAAAGAAGTGTGAGGAAGAATCTGATTGCATGTTGCTGTAATTGTTAATCTCCTCCAAGTTGCTTTTTTTCATTAACTATGTATTCCCTATGTCTGGATGTTGAAATCCTGTCAGGGCAATTGACCACATACAGTTGAAAGTCTCTTTTGATTTTGCTTTGCTTTTCATGTAAAGAGGATAAATTTAATTGGAAATTCAGGTCATTTGAATGGAAATGAAGTGGAAGCAATATTTACCTTGGCACCTTTGAAATATGTAGCCTACCAAGAAAAGTAATGAGGTTGCAGGTGGCCTGCAGGGAACAGGGCTCTCTGATTGTTTTGAACTACAAATTGCAATAAAGTCAGGTGTAAATAGTTTTCTACATATACTTTAAATGCAGCAAGGCTTATTTTTCTATTGAGCTTTAAATATAATAATAAATAAGTGGGAAGATGTACTCCTCTGGGAAAAGGAAAAGAGCAAAAAGGTTTTTAGAAATCAAACGGGCTCATGTTCTCTCATCTTTTAGCATTCTGCCTCTCTGTACAACCCTTGGGTTGCTCAGTATATCCCCTCACACCCGTTACTGCCCCTGCTAAGTGAGGTTCCCCACCCCAATGTATGCACTGTATAAAGAATAACTGCAGCTGTGATTATTTTAGAAAGTATAGTATTTGTGTGCTTCTAAATGAATTAGCTATGTATTTTGTGTTTAGGGACAGAGGAGGACTTTGGAGGTCTCGTTTCTGCAAATCTGATTCTTCTGAGGAATAGGCTGCTGGACATCCTGCTTAAGCTTATGTATACATCGAAAGAAAAAACAAGTGTTAACTTGCCGTGAGTATAAGAATCCTAGGTTTTGGTAGAAGATGAGCTTATGGCATGAACCTAGATTACTGAAACCGAGTGCATTTTAGCTGTTCTGTACAATAATTCTCACCGTCCCTAATCCTTGGCTTTACTGATTGTGGCCAAGTAGGAGTTATCGTTCAACATGTCTGGAACACACCCAATTGAGGAAGGCTGCATTAATGCATGAAAAGACAATGTCTGCCTGTAAGTCTCATAATTGTCTTTAGCTTTCTCTAATAAGCTCATGTACATTACATGACACAAATTTTTCTCAGCATGGGGGTGTTGCAGGCACAATCATGGTGATGGTTATATTTAGTACCAGTGGAATTACAATGAACTCCCAGGCCAATATGGCAGGAGTGAGAAGATGTTTGATCTTAGCAAACAAGAATGCTCAAGGAGGGTGTGTGCATTAAAACAGAAAAGTAGGCTTCACAAAAAATTGGCAAATACTGTACATTTCTGGGAGGATCTAGCCCTTTACAGCTGTTCAGGACTGATATGATGGGGAGGGCAGAGATTGTGTACATTATACAGAAAAATGAATGGACACCTATCCATCATGGGCTTTTACATTTATGCATCCTAAATATGTGAATAGAGTATGTGACACATATTTCCGATTATGGCAGAAATCCTATATATACATACTTGGGAGTAAGCCCAGTTGAATTCACTGGCTTTCATCTAGGTAGAGGTATATTGGATTGCTCTATAAATCTGCCATCTTTTTCTTTGGAAGATTCTTCAGTTACTCTGAATGGGATCTGGCAGAGGATCCATCAGATGTCCAACCTTGCATAGTGTCATTCATTGAGCCAACATACATATCAAAACTAGAAAGCCATTATCTTACAAAACATGTAAAAAATGTTACACTTTAAGATCCATTTTGTTTGTCTTGAACACTAGTGCTTCTATAGCTTTTCCCCTATCGTTATACAGGGCTTGTGAAGAACTTGTCCGGACCCTGGGTTTTGACTGGATTATGCTGTTTATGGAGGAACATCTGCACCCTACGACGGTGACAGCAGCCATGAGAATTCTGGTGGTCTTGCTAAGCAATCTAACTATTCTCATCAAATTCAAGGAAGGCCTCACTGGTGGGGGCTGGCTAGAGCAGACCGATTCCGTGTTGACTAATAAGATTGGGACAGTGCTTGGTATGAATCTTTAAAAGCACTACCCTTGTGTTTGTACCTTTAAAAAAATACATTGTTTGAATGTTGTGTGGCTCATATGAAAATGATCTATATCAGCAGTGTCTTTAGTTCAGTATTACTATTTTTATCTTTGAAAACGGATTTGCCAATAAATGTCTGTACAATGTAGGAACAATAAACAATAGAAGATAAGAATGTGTAAAACACAAATATAGTAAAACACATTCTAGTAAGCAAAATACAGATGAATAATGTAATGTTTATAAAATATACACAAAATATGCATACATTTGCATAATGAAAGCCCTACTTAGACATGGTTTTAACTATGTGGAGCCACACAAATATGGGGGGGGGATATAAACCTCACCCCTCTGCCATCTCTTTAATCACAGAATCAAGACTGTGTGAATGGCAGTGGAGAAGCTGCTGTACCCTTGTAACTTCTTTGAGCGAGAACTCTCACTCCAAAACATTGGATCCCAAGTATATAGCAGAATGTTGCTTTTCAAACAACAGGCATAAAATAATTTAATTAAAAAATTTGCCTTACATATGACTAGTGTAGACAGTTTTATAGCTGTGAGTAGAACAAGGGTCTTTTACATGAAAACCTCATTTATCTGGAATGACAAATGGTGTACACTGAATGACAATTAAGTAGTCATTATATGAGAGAGAGAGAGGCATCCTTCAGTCTCAAGAGACTATGGTAACATGCTCTGAATTGAGGAGTGTCCTCTCCAGAGCATGAAGCCTGGGTAAAGTAATATGGAGGATAAGCTGTTACCCAAGCAGCAGATCCCCCCTCTCCACTTTGCTGAATTGGTCCAATGGAAAGGCAAGAGCCAATACAACTGGTTCCAGCAATGTCGCAGGAGTTGGCAGAATAACATGAGCTGCCTTCAGGACTCCAGCTCTGGATTTTGCCTCGAGGTTAACTCCTGAAGCCTTTTCCATGAGTGGATATAGCCACAAGGCAGTGGAGGTTTGAAATCGGAGTTTCCCTTCTCCTAGATGGGCTGCCTTCCATGGCTGACGAGCCCCACCTACCCAGCCTGCTCTTTAATAGTGCAAAAGTATGATCAGACCCTTTAAACTTTCCTGCCTCCCAGGCTTATGCAAATCTAATTGGCTTTCCTATTTACCATATTAAGGCCAGACATAGAATTTGAGAATTTCGCGCGCCGTTAGAGTCCAGGGTCTTGGGTCCTGGGACACGCTTTTAAAGCAGAAAGTCCCACCCCCTAGGCCCCACCCCCAGGCCATGTGGTGAGGAGACACAAAGAAAGCCCAGAAAAAAAAAACCTCAACAAACATACCTGGCCTTCACCCTCAGCCCAGCTTCCTAGGAAAAAGGGTCCAGTCATTTTTTATGATGATAGAAAGGGAAGAGTATAGGATTCAACCTTGGGTGAAATCGGTTGGAGTATAAAGTGCCAGGACTTTGTGGAATGTAGAAAACAGTATGTTTTAAAAGAAATAAAGAATTCCCTTCCTTAGTGATCTTTGTTGCATCAAAACACAATAGGTAGCAGCCCAGTAAAATACCATAGCAGAAAAAGGTTCAATAGTTTCTGCATTTTCCAATATAATTAATGTTTTATTGTTTGTTTTAATAACTGGTGGCTTTAATATGAGACCTTACCCCATGAATTTTCATAGGTACTAAAACAAAACATTATTTAAGAAGCTTGCTTTCTGGTGACAGTATATATGATGACAGTATAAATAGAACTCAACTGAGGGTTTTGCTTTGGCTTTTTATATCTCTTCAGGATTTAATGTTGGCAGAAGCGCTGGTGGCAGATCAACTGTCAGGGAAATTAACCGGGATGCTTGTCATTTCCTGGGCTTTCCGGTTCTTCAGTCTTTTCTTCCTAAGCACACAAATGTGCCTGCACTCTATTTTCTTCTCATGGCGCTTTTCCTGCAGCAGCCAGTCACTGAACTGCCTGAAAACCTGCAGGTCAGTGCACCTGTCATCACCAGCCGATGTAATCAGGGTGGCCAGGTAGGAATATCTAGTAAGATGTCAACTTCATTAAGTGTGATACCGGATGGAGGTGGATGGGGAGGGTAATGGGGAAAGCTAGCTTCATGGCAAAAATACTTCATTTCTACATTTCTGAAGGATAACAACAGTGTTTGTGGGTCCAAAAGAAAATGGCAGCAGTTGCCCGCCATACAGAATAATTGTCATGTTTTTCAAAAATACAGTGCTTCTGGTGATACGGTGACAGCACATAACATAATGTTCATTACCACTGATGCTATTTTTGAAACTGAAGTATCAATACATGCCAAGTCACATGGAATGCCTACGTTGTTCATGTGAACATACAAAGAAGGTGTTCATTCTTCTTTGTGGTATCTGTGAATTCACACATCTGAGTTTGTTGTGTAGGCATCCTTCAGTCTCGAGAGACTATGGTAACGTGCTTTGTATGGAGGACATTGAACAGCGTCTAGTGTGGCTGAGAAGGCCAATTCGAGAGTGACAATCCCTTCCACACTGAAGACAAATACAATCGGTCCCCTGTCCAGCTCCCAGATTTTGCTTCGACACTGTATGCAAAGCTGGACTGTCTTCTCCAGAGGACGAAGCCTGGGTAAAATAATGTGGAGGATAGGCTGTTATCCAAGCAACAAATCCCCTCTCTTCACGTCGCTGAAATGGTCCAATGGAAAAGCAAGAGCCAATACAACTGGTTCCAGCGATGTCGCAGGAGTTTGTTCTACAGCCTCGTGAAAATCCTCAGAATCTTCCAGAGACTGTAAATAAAGTGTTAAGACACCCTGTTCGCCATGAATGCTGAGGTGGCTAAACTGATACGACCCTGAAACGAAGCATCCACCAGATCGACCTACTTTGCCATCTTCCTTGAGGTTCAGGTGCCATTCGCTTGCATAGGAAGAGACATTTACAAAGCAGCAACCTGGTCACAGTTCTTGATGTTCATCAGACAATGCAGATGGGATGACTGGGCTAGGCTGGGCACTGTTTGGTAGAGTGGTGATCTCCTCTGCATTGGTGCGACATCCCACCAGAGAGTAAATGAGCTTCTTCTGTCACCCACATGTGTGATTTCATGGAGACTATGAAGGACAGATTGCTTACTTGTAACTGTAGTTCAAGTGGCCATCTGTGAGTTCAACCCATCCATCCATCATCTCCTCAGTCTGTTACATAACTCCTATTCCTTCGGTGTCAACTGCAGACTGAGGGAACTGAGGACAGTCCTCAAGGTGTATGCATGGTGAATGTGGTGTGTCTCTTAGATTCTGAGGATGTTTGCGCAGAACAAACTCAAATGTGTGAATTCATAGATGACCACTCGAAGAACTACAGTTACATATAAGCAACCTGTCCATCTGTTGGATGGCATATGAGCACTAAACAGGAACATTATGAATATTTCAGCACTGAATGGAAACCTTCCCCTCTACTGAAGAACAAAGCACAATTACACCAAGCATTTGCTCTTGCTCATGTTGCTTTTCTGTGTAACCTTCAGTGAAACCCTGATATATTATACTTTCTCAATCTTGTGTTTTGAATATAATGTTTGGTTTTTCAACCAATGAGCCTATTTAGTGGGGGGGGCATCTGTGGTTGCACAGTGTGTAGTATATGCTTTTGGACTTAATAAATAATAATTAGTATGAGCTGAGTGTTGCTGCCTTGCAAGGATCTGACAGACTCAGAGAGTGAACCTAGGTTTCAGGTGATCATTGTAGATTACATAATGCTGCCAAAATGCCGAGGAGCTGAATGTCAAGCTTTATTTATATGCGGAATGCTTATGAAGTGAACCTACAGATAGCAAAGGGTTGCTTTAAAATGGAGTGGTGTGTCTTTGTTAGTTCTTGCCTCTTATACCTCCCTCACCGATTTCTGATTTCAACTTTTTCCTTTGTTCAATAGTTCGACCTGGATTCAATTTGGACATTTATATTTGGTGTTCCTGCATCCAGTGGCACTGTGGTTGCTTCTATTCACAATGTTTGCACAGAAGCTGCATTTTTATTACTGGGAATGCTTAGGACCATGTTGAATTCAGTAAGTTTGAAATCCTCCTGGGTTCTGAAAAGGAAATAGGGAGATTACCTTTTTATTAAATATTATGCTTTGCTTTTAAAACCTCAGAGAAGGGTGTTTGAGACTCTGAACACCTGTCTCTTCCAGATACTGGAGGCTGCTTAGTTACGTTATGTTAATTCTTATAGTTAGTTTTTGCTTCTAAGATGTCATTAGTTAACTGCTAAAATACAGTTCTGTCCTCAAAGTAGCTTACCTTTAAACTTCTAAAAATAACAGACAGCTTCATCCGATTTTAATATATGCCTTTTTGCCTTCTCTCCACCCTGTGTTCTTCCCTTTATTTCATCATGCTGAGTTTAATATTAACAATTTTGCAATTTTTATTGAACAGCTTTCTCAACACACTGTAACCATATGACACCCTGGTGTATTTCTTAGACTGAATTATTGCCAGCATTAATAAAGGCTTTGCTAGATGTTGAAGTAGTTTTAATGCAGAAACTAAAATAAGCATTGCTTCTATGTGTGCAATGAACATTAACAAATCAAATATCTCTTTTGGGGGAAAAGTCTTCCTTTGTTTCTTATATGAAAAGAGAAATGATTTATTATAGTTACACTACAGTACAGTAGTAGAAAAAACTGTGATGGCAATATTTAAAGAGCTGGGCTATGTAGATGGGAGAACTTAGTCGATCATGAAACCTTCCACTCATCCATTATTGTCCCTCTAAACTTATCCCACAACAATTAAGGCAACCAGTAAAATAGTAAACCTGTTTACTTTCTTTCAAAGTGCATAAACATAGTAATAAAATAGAATTGATTCCTTAATTCATTTTGTTAGTACAGAGATGTGTGTTTTTTAAAAGTAGAAAAAGTAGCACATAATTCAGAAAACAAACAAGGGGAAAAAAACTGTGTCCTTCGGATTACACAAATGCAAGAGTAGATGAAACATTTATTAAGCCACTAAAACACTGAACAGTGAGCTTTTGTCAGTAGAATCCACTTCCTCAGGCTTTGCACCAATATTTTATGAATAGTGCAGAACAGCTATAAATAAGAGTCCCAACAATTCATAGGAGATGTCTGTGCCAGGACTGCTTCTGAGAGGCGAGTTCAAGTGCTGGTTATAAACAGTGTCTTAATGGGAGGGTGGGGGATAGTTTCAAATGCATCATTGTTAGCTTAACCTTTTATCTTTGGATTTCATTGCAGCCTTGGCAGTCAGAGGAAGAAGGTTCTTGGCTTCGGGAATATCCAGTCACTTTGATGCAGTTCTTTCGTTATTTGTATCACAATGTTCCTGATTTGGCTTCCATGTGGATGAGCCCAGAATTTCTTTGTGCATTGGCAGCCACTGTGTTTCCTTTCAACATCCGACCATACTCAGAAATGGTAGGAGACAAAAACAAAAGAAACAAAAGACTAAACACAAAGTGGTGTTCACATCATCTTTTCGATTCTCACTGCAATCATGCCCCTTATATTGGATTCTGTGTAAATTGTTTAGGTAGCACAAATAAGTAGGATGTAGTAGGAGTTCAAATATCTAAGTAGGGATTTACTACTTAGAGCCACTGCTACTGAAAATAATAAGTCTTGGTGTAAGGGAAATTCCAGATAATTTAAAGTCTAGTAACTAGTTTAAATGCTCTATCAAATGCTCACCTTAATGTGATGAGGCGGTTTGAATGTGTCAGGAAAGCTGAAAGCAATAACCTTGGAAGGCTAGACTTAATTATGAGTCTAAACTATTAAAAGGGTCACCCAAAGTAGATAATCAAATGTGAACTAAGGTGCATCAATTCCTCATCAGAAATGCTTGTTTTCACCAGCAGAAGAGAGCTGATAGCACAGGTGATGGGAGGAGAGAAACTCTTGAAGGGCAGAAGTAGGAGGTGACACTGGCAGAGGATTTTTCATAGGCAGTGACAGTGACATCCAGGCCAATTCTTGTTAGTGTGGTGCAGAAAGTGGCACAGGTAAACCACTTCTGAATATTTGTATTTCAGAAACCCTAGGGTGAGACAATCCAAAATGTAACCTGTGTTGGAGAATGAGACATTGCTCCAAACCTGAAATCAGGCATATTGCAACCACTATTTCCTGTTCCATTGCTTTCTTGGGGACTATAGCTGGCCAGTCTAAGCTAGCTCAGCATCACCTCCTACTCCAGCTACTCCGGCAAGGTTTTTTTCCCCATAGCTATGTCCAGTTCTGCTGTAGTCTTCTGACTACTAAGAGTTCGTTATGAGCCATGGTTTTAAAGTTGCTTTCATAGCACTCCAAAGGACCAGGATAATAAATATCCATTGGACCTAATGTGACTTTCCTCAAAGCTGATGGAGAAAAATAAACACAAGGATCCTGCCAGATTTTCTGATAGTCCCCCTAAGGGAATAGTGGCAGCCACTTCGGTTGCTGAGCTGCAGGGGGATCCAGTGAGGGGTTGGAGGATAGGGCTGTGTCTGCCACACTCCCTGTTCTCTGTGCCACCACATGCAGAACATGTTTACTCACCCTTATGCTTTTATTGGCAAAAATCCAGTTGCTTAGCACAGTAAACTACAGTAGAGTAGGCCAACTTGAATCAATGGGGATTTAATGAATCAACTCCTCCATAAGTTCTGTTGATTCAAATGGAGCTACTTTAACTGCAGCTTAAGTAAGCCGCAGTTAGAATAGGCCTTCTTGAATTGATGGAACTTACAGAGAAGTTGACTCACTAAATCCCCATTGATTCAGTGGGCCTTTTCTAGTCCAATTTACTGTGCTAAGCAATTGGATTTTGATCATTGTAACAGAAATCATGCTGAGTGGATTGTTGAAAAATTTCAGGTATACAGTTCATGAGCAGCAACATGGAAGCTCAGCTGTTGTGGTAATGACATTGGTGTGTTTTGGATTTTAGTTAGTTGATTTACTTGTAAAAGTTTCACAAGAAACTGCCTTCTTACTAATGACTCCAAATGGAATAATGTTGTCATCCATGCTATTAATCTCCAGTTCATACTTTTAAAATCTTCCTATTAATGATATTTTATATGCAGTGTTGATTGTGAAACTCCCTAGTGTTTTATAACTATATGGTAACACCTGCTAATTTTGGTTGCAATTTCTATTAACAGTGCATCAGTTAAGTCCATTTGGATTTTGCTTAAAATATGATATTTATGTAGGGGAAATATGGGTTGAAATTTCTGCTCACAGTTAATTGTTTGAGCAATTTAGTTATCAATCTTCTGAAGCAAACTAAAACAGGATGAAGGTCTTGAGGGAACAGAAATAGAAATAGAAAGAAAGGGTAGAGTTTAAATGTGAATTACATCCCCATAGCTCTTTTCAAGCTTTCCACCAAAATCTAACCAATTTAAGGCTAATTGGTTGGTAGGGAAAGTTTATAATCAACCTGATAACTCTGCCTTATCAGGTTTCCCAATCACAGACTGAATGCCCTTGCAAGTTCCTTTACAAACCTTTATGTAAAACATACAAAAGTTTTGCTGAATTCCATGTAGGGTGGCAATGTTTAGGACTTCCAAGGCTTCACAGAATACTCAGGGAGCTAAATCTAGTTATTACTTCCAACAAGTCGATCAATTAAATGAACTGGATTTGTTAGTCAACAGTTATTTAATCCCATTGATTTAGAGGGTCTGTTCTAGTTGGGACTACCAATTAGATTCAGGAAAATGGTCCTCCTTTAATTGGGACTAAGAACTGAGTTTAGCTTACAGAAAAATAACAATCAAATAAATACAGTACTTAACTCCAAGTGCCAAAGGTAGGCTGAGTTGAGAGAAGCTATTGAACTTGAATTTTCCCCCTTAAAAATAGGTTACTGATTTGGATGATGAAGCTGGATCTCCAGCAGAAGAGTTCAAAGCATTTGCCTCTGACACAGGAATGAACCGGAGCCAGTCTGAATATTGCAATGTTGGATCCAAGACCTATTTGACCAGCCATCCTGCTAAGAAGTTTGTGTTTGACTTCATGCGTGTGCTGATAATTGATAATCTCTGCCTTACACCTGCTAGCAAGCAAACTCCATTAATAGACCTTCTCCTGGAGGTAGAGTTGGCCTATTGCTATTTTTCCCATAAACCAGAAGCAGCTATTGTAACGAATTGCTGGCATTGTGTTGTTGATGAGTGTTGCTTATATGAATTTCTGATTGTAGATGCTGGCAATAGATAGTCCTTGGACAATATACTGTTCCTTGTTAACTTGCCACACACTCTTTTTGGTCACTCCTTGTTCTCAGAAAGATCGCTTTCTGAGGACAGAACAAAGACAATAATATATGCACTTCAGTATGTCTTACCTTTTGTATTTCCTAGCCAACTTCAGGAAAAAGTAGTGAAGGAGGTTTAGAGGATTTTATTCCACATTCATCGCTTGGTCTGCCTTTCTTCTTGTCTTTTTTAAACCATGAAGCAGCTCTAAAAGATGGAAAAGGGCAAGGGGAAATGTACAGTGGAGTTTTCGGATTTGGTTGCCCCTTTGTCTCTGTTTCCCCCAGCTAGTTTGTGAACCAGACAAGTGGTTAGGAATAAAAGGTGGATGTCTCAAATACCCGTGATATGTTGCCAGATTATCATATTTAAAGTTAGCTTTTGTTTTTTATTATCATTGTACTTTATTTTCCAGGCTGTTCCAGAGAGAGCAACAAGGGCACAACAAAAAGAATTCCAGACTTATATTTTAGACAGTGTGATGGACCATCTCCTTGCTGCTGATGTTTTATTGGGTAATAATCAATTGCTTTGATTTTTATGCCCTGGCCCCCCTTTTAGGTATCCTTAAAATGACATATATACTGAGTTCCTGGAAACATAGAATGCAGTTTCTATAACTCCACCTAAATCTCCAGTTTAGGACTAAGAGTATGTACCTGTAGCTGGAGAGAAACAAAGAGGAAATTATACAAGTTCATTCTCATTGTACTTTCAGAGATCAGCTTTTCATGCATTAAGGAAAATGCATAAGGAAGTGCTCTGTCTCCCACTGTCAAGGATGTGATAGATGTGCAAATGGCAGAGGGCCTTTTTGGTCATGGTGCCTACATTTTGGAATGCCTTCACTCACTGCCTGCCTGTCATTGCTTCTCAAAGACTTGGTGTTTTCTCCAACACTTCTGGTCAATTTTGTAATTGGCTCCTGAAGTATAGAGTTTTTTCTACCTGTTAGGAACTCATTGGTGTAAGGTGTTATTGTTACTTTTCTTTTGGGTGGCATCCGCTGGACTGAAAGGTGAACTGGAAGTGCTTTTTACAATAAATCCCTTTACTTCTGTAGGTGAAGATGCATCTCTGCCTATTACTAGTGGAGGAAGCTACCAGGTGCTTGTAAATAATGTGTTCTATTTCACTCAGCGTGTGGTGGATAAACTTTGGCAAGGCATGTTCAACAAGGAACCCAGGCTGCTTATAGAGTTTATAATCCAGTTAATTGCACAGGTATGCACACCACGTCTTCTTTTAATTATATCGATCTGTTTACTCAACAGCTTTAAGAGTCCATTCAATATCCAGTTTTTTTTTCCTTTTAATGCATTATCAAGTAGAGATGTGAAGGCCTGAAAAAAATAAAAAGTAAACTAGGAATCTTGGTGTTCTTTTCCTTAAATAACTCCTCTTTGACCAGAAGTACTTTGGTTTATGAATCTTCATGTTTTAGAAGGATTAATACCTTTTCCCCCCAGACAAAAGTAATCATATATTGCTACCTGGCCATTCGTTTTCCCAGGTGATTTTTCAGTACATTTAGGACCTGATGGTGGGAAGGAGTTTTTCAGAATCTTGCAGAACACAAAACATATTCTGATTACTTTATCCAGAGTCTCAAGATTTACTAATCACATCCTTTCTGCAACATGGTGGCAAGGCCCCTATATGATGTAGTCTTTCACCCCTCTTGCTTCTCCTCTCCTTCAAATTGCTCTTATCTTTTGAAAGAAACTGGGCTTTGTTTTGGAAATGACTTTGCATTCCCAAGAGCACTTGGGGGGAAAATATTCCTTATTTTCATCCCTGCCTCCCATTTTCGGTTTCCCTCTTCCTCAGGGATGAGAAGTCCTGCCATGACTTCAACATTTCCAACAATTTTACATCTCTGCTATGTAAATACCTACTGCATACATTAATCAAAAATCCTGTAGCTTTTGAACATTATTCTGATTTGAATGAATTATGCTGATGCTAATTGTGTATTTTTATATAGTGATATGCTTGTGGTGGTGTAGAAGTTCCGTGTTAAATGTGCTTTTTTTTTTTTAGGGAAAACGAAGATCTCAGGGATTATCATTGGATGCCATTTACCATTGTCTGAACAGGACCATCTTATACCAGTTCTCAAGGCCTCACAAAACAGTTCCCCAGCAAGTGGCCCTCCTTGATTCTCTAAGGATGCTCACTGTCAGTCGAAATCTGATCCTGGGACCTGGGAATCACGATCAAGAGTTTATCAGCTGCCTGGCTCACTGCTTGATTAATCTGCATTCAGGGAGGTAAGTCTATCATGATCTGTCTTCTTTCACTAGTTCATTTAGTAATTATATTCGTTTTAAATTTGTCATGTTGCCTCTAGTTTTATAGCTACAAAGCTAAAAATGTAAAACTCTTCACATTTTCATTATCTTTATCAACGAAAGAGCAAAGATGAGGAAACTGGTTCCTTGTAGCAATAAAACTCCACTTGAACAAAGACGCAAGCAAGATGTAAAGAAAAGAAATACCAACTGAACTGATCTTCATATCTTACATGCCAGGGGTACATCCGCAGTCTGAACAGGGGAATAGCCATCAGTCTAACCTCTTTCTTACACGTTTGCAAATGAGCAGGCTTGAGTGAAATAGCATTGTAATCGTGCCTGTGAATACTGAATGTATCTGTATGATAAAAAAAAATCTGACAAGAAATACATGAAGGAGCCGTATTGCATATTCCTCACTTTCCCTCTGGCACATGTACAGACAGGTTAATGTCAAGAAGAATGACTGTAATGACTTGTCTTGAGAAACAAATATGCAAATACTTTTTAAGAAGGCAGGTTTGGTGAAACTGGTCTTCACATGCTAGTATTCCTGTACTTTCTAAAGATGTAGCTGTATTAGTCTGTCTCAGCATGCTGGCAAAAGGAAGAGAGAAAACAGTGGCTAATGTCCCATTGTGCAGCTTCCTGTGCACAACAGAAACAATGTCATCAGCAGTGGCAAATTGCTGCTGATTACACTACTGTATGTGATTTTGCAACCCAAAATCACCAAAGGAAGCCTTTATTCAGCAACCATTTGCTGTTGGGTGACACCATTGCCATTGTGCACGCAGAACTGTGCTGCAGGATTTCAGTCATCGTGCATTTTTAAGATCAATTTATTTCAGTGTGAACTTTTGTAAATCAAAGTCTACTTCTTCAGACACTCTATTAAAAATGGTTAAAAACTAAAAAATTTTAAAATGCTACAATATTTCTCCGGCCCTTTTCTTTTGTCTGGATTCCTACACTGTCATGCCTCCTCAGTGTGGATGGCGATTGATTGCTCCAGTGCTCCTGTCCCACACCCAAGCTAGGATAAAAATGTGCTATTTAATAAAAAATGTCAGGAGATTATCTACTCTTGTTTTCCTTTTGACATGCTAATAATAATTATGTGCAATCAAGTCAATTCTGACTTATGACAACCCTTTTCAGGGTTTTCTAGGCAGAGAGTAATCAGAAGTGGTTTACTGTTCTCTTCTTCTGGAGGCATCCTGGGACTATGCAGGCTGGCTCTTCTCCCTGGAAGCACAGTGGAGGAACTGAACTCCCAACCTCTCTATACTCATTATTCTTAGCTTTGAATATTGTCTTTTAATGATGTAAACTACCATTGTGTATACTCATTGTTTTCAGCTTTAAATACTGTCTTTCAAGTAATGTAAACTGCCTTGGGTCCTTTTTAAAGAGAAAGGTGGGGTAAAATATTTTAAATAAATAAATCAGTTCTAAATAAATAAATAAACCCCTGACTCCACAGCTGGGATTAAACTCATTGAGGTACCCAGCCAGCTAGGGACATTTAAAAAAAAAATATGTGGAGGCATTCAGACATTCAGTGCTGTATTTTGAAAATGACATCAGATGGTTTAGGATGATCTTACTTGCCTCATTGTTACAAAAAAATTGTATCCAGTTTTTTTTTTAATTTGATGTTTGGTGATGATGAAATGTCCTACTAAGTGTCCATGCACCATCATTCATGCTATGTTTTGTAATATGTAGCATACCAATACTAGGTGTGTCTTGAAGCCGTTTTGCCCTGCCCTAGTTTTAGGTAGCTCTTTGTTATAAATGTTTACAATATTGGAGGCTGAAAGCTTCATAAAATCCTAGAAAGTGTGCAGTGTCATCAAAATATGCCTAAAGTCTTCTGTTTTCCCTGGCCCCACTCTTTCTTTCTTCTCCCCTCCCACTTCACCTTTTTCCAAAAGCAAATATTTCTCCTTTGCTTATATCTAATGTTGCTGGATAATATTTGCAGCAGTGTCGATGGGTTTGGCCTGGAAGCAGAAGCCAGAATGACCACATGGCACATTTCCATCCCTTCAGATATGGAGCCAGATGGAGTCTACAATCAAGATGTTAGTGAAGGTAATAACATAACAAATCATCTAAAGCAGGGGTCCCCAACCCCCGGTCCGTAGCCCGATGCCAGCCCGTGGGCTTTCTTGAACTGGGCCATGGACACGGATCTCCGCTTTCGTGAACTGGGCCATGGACACGGATCTCCGGCCCCCCGCACGCATGCACGATGGGTATGTCTTGCTTGTTGAGGGGCGTGTCACGCTTACGGGGTGGGCGTATCACACTCGGTGGGCATGTCACGCTTGCAGGCATGCGCACAAGAGCAACACGCCCCTCTGCAAGCATGACATGCCCACCCCACAAGCATGACACACCCACCCATGAGTGTGACACGCCCACTGTGTCGCGCTCGGTGGGCATGTCATGCTTGCAGGCATGCGCACACGAGCAACACGTCCCTCTGCAAGCACGACACACCCACCCATGAGTGTGACACGCCCACCCACAAGCGCAGGGTTGCCCCTGCCCTCCCGCGCATGGAGCCCATACCCCCCAAGTGGTCTGCAGTCTGAAAACGGTTGGGGACCGCTGATTTAAAGACTATTGGTTCTTTTGCAAAATATAGGCCAGGATAAGATTGACTGACAGTAGAGAACAATGTTATAAGATGAGTAATTGTACTGATTACTGGCTACTTGTGTATTGCAAGCAAATTTTACTAAGCGGCAGTCTGGAATACAGTGGTGCCTCGCTTAACAGGCACTCCGTTTAGCGATGAAATCGCTTAGCGATGACTTTTTCAGAGCATTTTTGTGCTTTGTTTAGTGATGGTCCCTATGGGCGATTTTCGCTTAAGGACGGCAATTTGTTCCTATTGGAACGGATTATCCGGTTTTCAATGCATTTCGATGGGAAACCGCGTTTCGTTTAGCGATGAAATCGCTTAGCGATGACTTTTTCAGAGCATTTTTGTGCTTTGTTTAGTGATGGTCCCTATGGGCGATTTTCGCTTAAGGACGGCAATTTGTTCCTATTGGAACGGATTATCCGGTTTTCAATGCATTTCGATGGGAAACCGCGTTTCGTTTAGCGATGAAATCGCTTAGCGATGACTTTTTCAGAGCATTTTTGTGCTTTGTTTAGTGATGGTCCCTATGGGCGATTTTCGCTTAAGGACGGCAATTTGTTCCTATTGGAACGGATTATCCGGTTTTCAATGCATTTCGATGGGAAACCGCGTTTCGCTTAGCAATGAAATTGCTTAGCAGCGATTTTTCTGAACGAATTAACATCGCTAAGCGAGGCACCACTGTATTTAAATTTAGACAAAATTCCTATCACTCATTGAAATTGGTAAATTTCAGTACTCATGGGAAATGGCTTACAATCCTATACCAGGAATAAACAAGGTTTTTTAAAAATCTATTATGAAAAGCATTGGAATCAATAGTTAAAATATAGCTAAGAGAGCAAAAAAGAAGAATAAAAGAAGTTTCCAGATGAGAAAGCAGGTGTTTCCAGAATTGTCCCTGAAGGGTTGGCAGATATTTCAAGTATTTCCATATTGTATTCAGTAGAAACCATTAATTGCCATACGTCTGTAGAAATATTATTTCTGTTATCTCCTCTTTTCCATTTGTATCATGATTAATAACTGTGCAGGGGAAAGGGGGCATTTCAGTTAGTCACTGCCATTGTGTTATGTGCCCTTTAATTTTATGTAGTTCTGTGGTACAAAAACCCATTAAGAATGAGTAGTTTTTCTGAGTTGAGTTGCCTTAATTACAAAACCCTGATCTGACCAAACTTGATCATAACTTCTTCTACATACACAGTGATACTTTATTCTAAAGATATGTTAAGGTATATATGTATCTCTCTTACCCATTTTGCAGCTGTCATGTATCTCTCTTACCCATTTTACAGCTGTCATGTGCTCAGTGGTTGTTCATAGTTATAATATCTTGTCAAAATTTAGGTCGCCAGCTCCTTTTGAAAGCTGTAAATCGTGTATGGACAGAACTGATCTACAGCAAAAAGCAGGTTTTGGAAGAGGTGTTCAAAGTATCCCTTCCTGTCAATGAGAGAGGCCATGTGGATATTGCAGTTGCAAAGCCCCTTATTGAAGAGGCTAGTTTAAAATGTTGGCAGAATCACTTGGGTAAGTAAATCTGTCTACCTCACCTGTCTGATACCATGCAATTCAGGGCACTTTACAAAGAAGTCCTACACTGGTATCCCACACGGCTGCTGAGCTTAGCTTAGCAAAATTGTTGTATCAGCTGTTCTGAGAGTGTGTGATAGGACCCTTAAACATCCCTAATTATTGGAACAGAATGCTTAACATTGGCATATTTGTCATTAGTGGTAAGAATTATATCTGACAAGGATGTTTCCTAAAAGCCATACTTTTTCCTTTAACACAACACTTTATTCCATAGTATGTACTGGCAGTAACGTTATCACTGTTGTACCTAACAAGGAAGTTAATTGGGCTTTGGGGCCCATGCCACGGAAAGGTAGACTCACTGGCAGCAGCACTGTGCAACTCTAGAAGCAGATGCTGATGCAAGGATAGCTGTGTAGTTATGAAGAACAGTCTGTTTCCTCTAAAAGCCTGAATGTGTCACCTGGAGGCTGTGACAGTATTTAGTCTATACCCTGAAAATAGACAAGTATTATTTATAGCTTGTGCTGGCTTTTTAATGAGGACATTAAAATATAATGGGAGGGGGAAATGTGAATAGTTATAAATTTATCTTAGTGCAGCATCAAACTATAAGTGGTGCCTTGAGTTGCAAACTTAATTCGTTCCAGATGATGGTTGTAACTCAAGTTGGTTGTAACTCAAAGCATCATTTCCCATAGGAATACATTGAAAAGCGATTAATCCATTCCGGCCGTTTTTTGGTTGTATCTCAAGGCGGTGGTTGTATTTCAAAAGATATACAAAGGTTGTATCCCATAGGAACTAATGCAAAAGCGGTTAATCTGTACACTGGGGGAGACGTTTTAAAAAACAAAAACAAAAAAACCTAAGATGACCTCTAAGGTTAAAAAAAGGGCAGGAAAGGAGGGAGGGAGGAAACAATGGGGAAAAGAGGCCTTTTTCCGGTTGTATCTCAAAGTGCTGGTTGCAAGTCAAAGCAAAATGTTGTGACCGGAGCTGGTTGTTAACTTGAATTGGTCGCAAGTCAAGACGTTTGTAAGTCAAGGCACCACTAAAATATGTTGCATATTTTAAAGAGGAATTTGATCAATGAAGAATTTGATCAATGAAGATTTAGGTGTTACCATCTCATCTTCAGAATTTGAAAGAAGATGGTCATGAAATACTGACCTGAAATCTCATGGTAGGGGAAAAGACACAAAGGGGAGAATTGCATAAACGGTGAAAGGTACAGGCAATTGGTAGGAGAGAACTGTGAATGTCAAGAGAAAGAATGTGATTCTCAAAGGCTTTCATGGCCGGGATCTGATGGTTGTTGTGGGGTTTTTTGGGCTCTTTTGCCCTGTTCTGAAGGTTGTTATTCCTAACGTTTTGCCAGTCTCTGTGTCCTCTGAAGATGCTGGCCACAGAAACTGGAGAAACATTAGGAAGAACAACCTTCAGAACACAGCAAAAGAGCCCGAAAAATCCACAACAACCATCAGAGAGAAGGTGGCTTGAATCCTCATTGTTAACTCTTGTCTATAGGCTGTGGATCACAGATGTGGCATGTTCTGTATCTCAGCTGACTGATTGAAGAACACAGCATCTACCTGTTTGTGAAAGCATGTAGAATAGAGAAGGTTTCCGGAATGCATTAGGAAAAACACTACAGTGTAGCTTAAACTTCTTTGCTGGGCGCCACCTTGTGTTGGTAGAGGAATTAAAAGAGTCTTGTAAGTGTGTTTTAAAAAAGAGAACAACAACTCTGCTTGTATTCTAGCCCATGAAAAGAAATGCATCAGTAGAGGAGAAGCATTGGTGCCAACAACCCAGTCAAAGCTTTCACGGGTCAGCAGCGGCTTTGGCCTTTCCAAACTAACTGGATCAAGAAGAAACCGAAAAGAAAGCGGGCTTAACAAACATAATCCATCCACACAGGTATCTTGTAGATCATAGGGAAAAGAAAATATTATGGGGGAAACCCCTTATAATTTCTGATACATAAAACAAGCTAGTCTATGATTTAACATCCTGGCCCCTTTGCTATATTTGATAACAGCCAGGTTGTTCACAGCAGGTTCAAAGTCTGTGGCACACCTCACATGGTTGGATTGCAACTCCATCACTGCTGACCATTAGCCATATTGGCCGATCCTTATGGGAGGGGAATGTTAACAAAATCTGGAGGGCTGATTATTTTCCTCTCCTTTTCTGAAAGTACAGCAATCTTAATTTACCATAGCAGTGCTTTTGTTTTCAGCTAGTAGAAATCATTAGAAGACTAAGACTAATCCTATATTCTCTAATTGTGGTGTAAACCTCATCAAATACAGTAAGGTTTACTTCTCAAAACATCATTTTAGATATACATTGGATTGCACTTACGTGATTAAGATTAGTAGTTATATATTCTAAAACTGCAGTATAAATATGTCTGCTGAAATTCTACATATAATGAATACTCCTATTTTTTTAAAAAATGTTTTATATGCATGTGTGTTGAAGAATTCTTTTTTGTGTCTTAATATATTCATATTTTTGCTACTAGGAGATCTCTCAGTGGATGTTTACTCACATAGCAGTGGTTCGAGACCTGGTAGATATGCAGTATAAAGAACATCAAGAGGTAAAAGTAATCCCACCTAATACTCTTATGATACCTTGTTGATATTAAATTGTATTTAAATTGGCTGCTAGTGTTCATTGCAAGCAGAGATACTATACAGAGATTTCCCTTTAAATAATGCTTCTAAGTGATCACCGGATCTATTGAAAACATCAATCTTTTTAGATTAGAGATGGGCACAATCTGCCTATTTGGTGGTTTGTGCCGGTTTGTCCTTTGGACAAACAGGTGTTTGGTGCTTGCCAGCACCTCCTCCTCCTCTGACGAGCATCTTGACTTTCTTGCCCCACCTTCACCAGCCACTGCCTCTAACTGAGCACCCACTGGAGGAGGAGGGGGCTGGGAAAAGCTGAACACTTGTTCGCCCAAAGTACAAACCAACACGAGCCACCGAACTGGTGGTTAGTGCCCATCTGTATTTTGGATTTTCCACGTTTCTGTGGAAACTAGAGTAGGCTGGAAACTGCTGCTTCCTTTTTATAATATTTTCATGTGTTGATCAGGCGGTAGAATGTGATTTGTGAATCCTCCCGGAGTTTGCTGCTTTGTTAGTATCGTAAATGAAAGGTGAATTGCCTTATTTGAGTAGGAAGCAAACAAGTCTTTCTCCTTTCCCTAAGGTCGTTCTTGTTGATGCACTTCATCCAGATATAAACCCCTGGCAAGAGTGAAGGGGGAAAGCCTGCTACTCTGTGGTGTGTGTTTCATGTACAGAGAAGATCCCAGATATTATTTCTGGCATGTTCAGCTGTATGCAGTTGATATACCTGAACATGACTGAGGCCCTGGACAGCTGCTGCTACTTAGAATAGGAAATATTTGGGGACAGCACCTTCATCAGTTCCTAGCCGGAGAGTTGTTTGTAAACAGGTGCATCAGATGTAAATACGCCAGCTCCTATAACCCAGTTTTGTGGCTGGTATGTTTCATAAATATATAATTATAATAAAGACTGCTGCAGGGAAGGCTTGCAATTTGGCTGTTAACTTCAAGAATGAAGAGGGGAGCTGGAAGATGCACCTTTGCACTTTGAATGAAAGAGCTTCTGACATCCCCTTTTGCTTTGCTGCCATGGCTCACGCGAGGTTGTCAATACAGTTGCTGTGCAGGATGGCTAATTGGCTTTCACAACTATTTATGACATGTTATTTAGCACACTGTGGCAGTCAACCTATTGTATGCTTTCCAGCGTCAGCAGAATGCATTGAAATACGTAACAGAAGAGTGGTCTCAAATTGAATATGAGTTGCTACGGGAGAGAGGCCTCTGGGGCCCTCCCATTGGCTCTCACTTGGACAAATGGATGCTGGAAATGACAGAAGGTCCCTGTCGAATGAGGAAGAAGATGGTGCGAAATGACATGTTTTATATTCAGTATCCTTACATGCCAGATACTGAACATGAGACCAATCTGCTGGTAAGTGCAGTTATATACATGTTTATTTGTTGTCTCACCAGTTATAAACGTAGTGCCTTAATTCCTTGCATCACTGAAGAGAATGCCTGTGCATACGCTACAACAGATATCAACTGAGCACTAACAAATCTAAAATTAGTTCTGCGCTTCTCAGCCATGAGTTTACAGATAGTTCAACATCAAGTGTTACCAGCAAGTACATGGAATGGCTACTTTGTATTTTTTTAGTTTCTTCGTCCATCACCCTGTTGATTCAATACTTCATCTATTTATGCATTTATTTGTTACACCTACACACTGGATTTCTACCTTTTAGCTCAATTTGGCATAGATGGCTCCCTTTCTTCCCATTTTTTCCTCACACCAGCCCTGTGAAATTCACTTAGAGAATGCTATTAGGTCAGGATCACCCAGAGAGTTTTATGCCAAGTTGACAGTTTGAACCCAGCTCCCGTATTCTAACCACCACCTCTGTTCGCTCAACTGGAAGGTAGCCAAAACAGAGTGAGCTACAGCTTATTTCTAACAAGTGCCTCCTATATTTGAAGTTTATTGAGCTCATGGCGAGTTGCCAGACATGACTGATGAGTTGCTTTTAGCTTGGTGGATACCAAGCTCAGCATAAGGTAAGCTTATGGAAGATGAGCTAGTCTAATCAAAGACATCTGAGCAATGGGAAAACTACAAGCTAACTTGGACAGGAGACAAACACAATGTTGTCTGGGAGGAACCCAAAGGCAGCTCTTAAAAGTTCATCACATTTGCAAATTGTATATGTAGGCAGTTACAGAATGAATAAGTTGTGAGCTGTTATTTTGATAAACTGAAAATCAGCAAGATAGAATTGCTAAAATATTGTGTTCACTGCTGTTGATACTGTTTCAGAATATGCCTAATGTTTATAGTTAAATGGTGCACATTGTTATGCTAATTCTAACAGATTTTAAATGTCACTCTGTTATGTTGTTGCTATTACTGCTTTGCCATCCTTGATGCAGAAAAATCAAAGTTCAGTCTTGTACTCTGAAGGCTTAGCCAAAAGATGTAGCTTTTACTTTATCACTCATTGTATTTTGTCTGCTAATGTTCTTACAATTGGTTGCGTGAATGTACTATCATCATGCATTCTTCCTCCATGTGATTTTGTTCCCCTCATGCTTTTATACTTAATACCCTATTTTCAGTCTGAATTCTCAAGTAAGCCTCCTGAGACATCTGATGATACCATTCCTCAAAAGGTAAAGAAAGAAAACCATCCACGGCTGGCAAAGTGGATGCAAACTTCTTTGTGCATGTTGGGCAACCTTAACAAAGGCTTCTAGGGTTGGCTTTCACGTGCTTCTTCAGTAACTCTGTTGTAGGATTAATGATTCACGGTAAATACACTGCAGCGGATGTGGCTGTGTTCTCTTCAAGTCTTCACCTACTATGACATCTCTCTCTAGCTCTTTCTGTCTGTGCTGCACACTAACAGGCTGCAACGGGGCTCCGCTTTCACTGTTCTCACTGTAAAAACATGTACTGGCTTGGAATCAAAACTAATAAATCAAGATGTATTTAGTGATGGGCTTTTCAAACATTCACATACTTAGACTAATCATTTCCTTCAATGTGGGTTCATCTGGATAGAGCATTTCCACACCTCCCGGAAAGTTCCTAATTGCGCATGGTTGATATTGGTATTTCTTTCCATCATCTGCATAGCATAAGCTTGTCTCAATATTTTCAGTGACAAGAAGCAACCAAAATCTGAGACTTCTCATCGCAGTTTGTCCCAACTGGAATGGATTTTTCTTATCTCATTTTGTTCCAAGGGGACGAGTTTAGCACTAAAGTCCAGGTTATTTCCAAGATAATTGTTTCCTGGTCATCTGAAGAGTTCAGTTATTCAGTTCGGCACAAAACCAAAAAAGTCTGAAAAAGAAGTTCCAATAGTAAATTGTTGTCTGCTTTGTATATTTCAACATCATCTTAGTAGAGAAGCAGTGAATTAGAAGAGAAAAAGATGCTCTGAAGCTACACTTGGAAGCTTTCGGTTAAGTTTCAATTAAGCATCAATTGGGTATAAAACATAGAAAAACCCTATAATAATGGCCAACATCCTATCCTGTATGCATGTGCAAAGGTCCAGCTGCAGAAGCCACAGGAGTGGCTTGACAAGGTGCTGGTCTCGTGGTGGTGGTGGGAAACACAACCGACATCTTACAAGATCATCATGGCACCTTCTGCAGCTGCACTCCATCCACACAGATATTAAAGATTCCCTTAGGAGAACAGACTTTTGAGAAGCAAATATTTAAAATGCAGCCAGGAAACTATCTGGATAACTTTATAGAGTGTTCTTATGTATTTGATAAAGTTACCTTTTTAGTACAGTTGTTGCACTCTGTGCCAAATGCTAATTTGAGGCCATAGTCAAATAATTGGATGAGATCAGTAATCATTGTTCTCAATGATCTTGTTCTTGTGCACATTTGGAGCGTGCTTTTTGTCGGGAAAATGGGGTGTGCATCCTCAGGTGCATCTCTTTAAATCAAAAGTGGGGTGCATGTGGTCTGTGGGCCACACGCATCCCTTCTGGAGTGTCTTTACACCCTCTGTCCTTGCCCTGTGTCTTCCATACAACTTGACTTTAAAAAAAATCCTTTTGTGCTCTCTGTAAGGTGTAGGAGCAATTTTTCCATCCTGTGAGGCCCCAAATGCCCCCTCTTCCTTGGAAAAATGTTCATTGGCGTGCATAATGGGGCCTTTTCACTGAAAAGAAAACTTGATTTTAGAATTTAATTCTATTATTTGGGTTAACAAAAATCCATTGTAGTAAACTGAAATATATAGCTGTAATGTTAAAACAAAATTCAATAATTGCCTCTTTGGCAACAGAACCCCTCCTTTGGATATGTGACCCTCAGGCTGCTGACAGCTGTAAAAATACCCCATTGGACCCCTTCTATTCCTGTTGTACATCCAAAGCAAAAAGATGGGAAGGGATCATGGCAGAAAAAAGTGATATTGGAAGAGCTGGTATAAGCCATTTTGGTTCTGCTCCTTTCCATTTATTTGGTTCTTTTTTCTCTATTCATTTCCTCTTTTAAAGAAGCAATTTTAATTTTTATTGCCATTTATGAATAAATATGTTAAATGTATTCTACTGTTATATGGGATGTTTGAGAAGAGAAAGATCAGTGTTTCTTAAATTGCAAGTTCAGCTAATTGTCCTGTTAGGGTCACACAAAGTCAGTACGTCCATATCAAACAGTTTTATAAATGTTTGCTCATCACTAAGTACAATATGCCTTTACTCATCTTGATCTTCTTGTCCAACTAATCTTTGGAAAGCATTGCGTTATGAAGACATTTTGTTACCTTTCCTGGTGTATTTTTCTCTTCAGTTATTCACCAACTTTTACTTACTCTAGGAGATTGCTCTATTATATCTATAGCACTGGCATAAAAACTCACCATCTAACGTTAACAGTTAGATTTCAAGATTTGAAGTATAATTGCACATTTGGTATGTGGTAGCTTTAAAAAAACATCTTTCTGCCAAAAAGGATGCCTAAATCGATGACAACAAGATGCTTTAATTACAAGGTCTTGATCCTTAATTCACTTGCTGCTGTGATTAGGATTGCATCCAAATAATGTTAGGAGAAAAATATCCTGTCCAGCGTCCTGCCACAGAAATGTTGTCATTCTCAGCAGTGGACTACCACTGCTGAAAGAGTTCCTTTTTTATTTCAGTGTGTACATGACCCACGTGCAGTGAGACAAAGTTGTGTGCACCCTGAAATCTAAAAAGAGATTATTTACAAGCAGTCGGCAACTGATAATGATGTCATTTCTGCTGTGCGGCTGGAGATTCAAATCACTGCAGGATATTGGACAGTATATATAGCGTGGGTGACTTAGCACTAAACAAGGCTATCTTGGATACCATATCCTATGAACAAATTATTTTGGGTACTTGCCTCATCCAGTCTGCTTAATGATTGTATTTAGAACTTATTTCTTAATATACCAGGTAGTGTGAGTTATAGTTCTAAACTTACCTAAGCTGGCTGCATAGCTTAGGTATCTGGCTGGCGGTTCAATTCCCCACTGTGCCTCCTTTGAGTAAAGCCAACCTGTATGGCCTTGGGCAAGCTACATAGTCCCAAATCAAATCAAAAGTGTGCTGCTGAAGTATCAAGCCTGAAATATCTCAGGAGGCAAAAATGATGAAGCTGAGGCTGTCATATTTTGGGCACATCGTGAGAAAGCAGAATTCCCTGGAGAAGACAATAATGCTGGGGAAAAGTGGAAGGCAGCAGAAAAAGAGGAAGACCAAATAAAAGATGAACTGAATCACTAAAGAAAGCCACATCCTTGAGTTTGCAAGAGCTGAGCAGGACAACTGAGAACAGGGCATGTTGGAAATCATTTATTCATAGGGTCGCCATGAGTCAGAAGCGACTTGACAGTGCATAACAACAACAAAAATGAATCTGATTGATTTCTTTACAACCTTACGTTCTGGAAACAATTAAATGTAAACCAATGTTTCAGGGAGTACTAATGAATGAGCTGGATGCATTGTTGGAAATGATGGAATATAAAAGCCATTTGAAGTAGATACAATATTGTTGGACGTTTTCAGACAATTCACAATATCCGCTAAACACTTTTTGATCACCTCTTCGTTGTATGCTAGTCATCAAACAGCATTTAATTTTGATCATTGTTTTGGTGATGATAAGTTCATTCCAAATGTAAGTGATTGTCTATAAAAACTGTAATTAGCTTAAAATGGTTTGCCTCCAGCTGTAACACTAGACAATAGGGAGGTTGTAGGCATAGAGCTAAATCTAGGATACATTAGCTTAAAGAATGACTTGGTTTTACTGAACATTTTAATTCAATTATTGTTTTAAGAAACCTGCACGCTACCGAAGAGCTATAAGCTATGATAGCAAAGAATATTATATGCGACTGGCTTCTGGAAACCCTGCTGTGTTTCAAGATGCTATTGAAGAGAGTTCAGAAGGAGAAGCTGCTCAGCAGGAGCCAGAACACGGTGAAGATACTATTGCAAGAGTTAAAGGTGGGATCTTTATTCCATCTTTATTCCTCCATGACCATGTAGGAAAAAGCAAAAACAAATAGCTGCTTTTCTTTTGTGTGTGTGTGTGTGTGTGTGTGTGTGAGAGAGAGAGAGAGAGAGAGAGAGTATAGCTACAGTGGTACCTCGCTAGACAGTTTTTTCGGTAGACATTGACTTTTTGCAATCAAATGATTCGCAAAACAGTGATTCCTATGGGGGAATTCCGCTGGAAAATGTTTGGTCCCTAAGTCACAAATCGATTTTAGCTAAACGACGATTTTGACAGCTCCCTCCGCACTCGCAAAACGGGTGTTTTCAGGACCTATGCTTCGCAAGACAGCTATTTAAACAGCTGATCGGCAGTTCGCAAAGCGGCTTTCCTATGGCCGATCTTCGCTAGACAACAATGATTCTTCCCCATTGGAATGCATTAAACAGGTTTCAATGCATTCCAGTGGGGAAATGCTTTTCGCTAGACAATGATTTCGTTAAATAGCGATTTCAGTGGAACGGATTATCATCATCTAGCGAGGCACCACTGTATTAGTATTTGGGGATCTGATTCTTTAAAAGTGTGAATTTCCCTAAGGAGGCCAAAACCGTTACCCTAAGGAAAGAGTTCTTTCTCAGCTATACCATCTTCCTCTTCTGTGTTTCATGCCCCTTTCTAGTTAGTAAGGATGGATAAATCATTGTACTTACAGTTCATGTCATTATTACATAAATTCATTCATGCCCATTCTGTCCTGTTTGTACATTTATCTACAGGAAAAAAAAACTATACATGGAAATATAAAATCTGTGCTTTAGTTACCAAAAAAATTTAATGTACAGTGGTGCCCCGCATAGTGACGATAATCCGTGCAGCAAAAATCGTCGCTATACTGATTTGTCGCTATGCAGATTTAAAAAGCCCATAGGAATGCATTGAAACCCCTTCAGTGCATTCCTATGGGCTTAAAACTTACCTTTTAAGCGAAAAGCCTCTATACGGTGGCCATTTTGGGCGCCCGGTAAGCAAGGAATCCGTCCCTGTTTTACCTGGTGGCCATTTTGGAACAGCTGGGGAAAAAATATCATTATGCGAAAATCAGTAAGCGAAACAGCTTACTGATCATCGCAAAGTGATTTTCCCCCATAGAAAACATCGTTATGCGATCGCAAAAGCGATCGCAAAAACATCATCGCTATGAGGATTCGTCGTTAAATGGGGTGCCCGTTATGCAAGGCACCACTGTATCTTGACATTTTAACATATTTTGGTTAACCTTCAAATTTTATATTTTGATGCCTTTAAAACTGTTAGAAACTGTTTCAATGCTGTAAAGATTTTTAAAGTTAAATTCTGGCCGGTATATATGTTCGATAAGAATGGATTAAGTTAGTTCTAGTTGAAATAAATTTTGAATTTCTCAAGAATGCAGTGCGAAAGTGAAGAAATTGATGTAAAATATACAGTGGTACCTTGCAAGACGAATGCCTCAGGCAACAAAAAACTCATAAGATGAAAGTGTCTTGTGAGTTTTCACAAGACGAAGATTTTTTCATTTTGCGAGGCTCGTTTTCCCATAGGAATGCATTGAATTTTAATTAATGCCTTCCTATGGGCCAAAAAACTCTGAAAAAGTCACTTACCAGGTAGGGAGCTGGGGAAGCACCATCGGAGGACTGGCAAGGGTTCCCCGCAACCGCAATCACCGCTTTCAGAGGTCCCCTGGCAGTCCTCCGATGGTGCTGGGGAAATCTTCAGAAGCTTCTGAAGCTGGCAATCGCGGTTGTGGGGGAACCCCACCAGTCCTCCGATGGTGCTGGGCAAGCTTCCGAAGGCTTCTCCTGCACCATCGAAGGACTGGCGGGGGTTGCCCACAACCATGATCGCTGGCTTTGGAAGCCTCTGAAGACTTCCCCAGCACCACTTTTTAATTTCCCACCCTTTTCCCCTGCTTTTTTTCGTTCGAAGGCTTGCCTCTGATGGTGCTCAGCAAGCCTCCGAACGGAAAAAGGCAGGGGAAAAGGGTGGGAAATTCAAAAATGGTGCTGGGGAAGTCTTCAGAGTGCCAGTCCTCCAGTGGTGCTTCCCCAGCTCCCTACCTGGTAAGTGTCTTTTTCAGAGGTTTTTTGGCCCATAGGAACACATTAATTAAAATTCAATGCATTCCTATGGGAAAACACGCCTCGCAAGATGAAAATTTCGCAAGACGACAGGATTTGCGGAATGAATTACAGTGGTACCTCGCAAGACGATTACCCCGCAAAATGGTTTTTTCACTAGACGTTGACTTTTTGCGATCGCTATAGCGATTCACAAAAAGGTTTTTCCTAGGGGGGGATTTTGCTGGACAATGATTTGGTCTGTGCTTCACAGACCATTTTTTACAAGACGACGATTTTTACAGCTGATCGGCGTCTTCGCAAAATGGCTTCCCTATGGGTGATCTTCGCAAAATGGGTGTTTTCGGGACCGATGCTTCGCAAGACAGCAATTTAAACAGCTGATCAGCGCTTCGCAAAATGGCTTCCCTATGGGTGATTTTTGCTGGACGATGACTATTTCTCCCCCCATTGGAACGCATTAAATGGGTTTCAGTGCATTCCAATGGGGAAACGCTTTTCGCTAGATGATGTTTTCACAAGACAACAATTTCAATGGAACGAATTAACACTGTCTAGCGAGGCACCACTGTATTTTTGTCTTGCGAGGCACCACTGTAGTGGGAAATGTGCTTCTGTTTCTGTAGTCCTGCTGGTAGACATGTAATTGCATACATCATGGTGATGAATTGCTGCCACTTGCATTTCTGATTATGTTCTGGTTCCTTGACTTGATGTGGAATGCAAGAGGCAATTTATTTATTGGAGCAATTCTCTGCCACAGTGTATGCAGTTGTACCTACGCTGGCATAAATCTTCAACAGGATTCTGGACCCTATACAAAGGTGCTCCAGGCACACATATGGGCTACTACTACTCTCGGCTTCTTCTTAGTATTTGCATTTGTAATTCCCTTGGTTTTGCTCAGGTAGAGGCAATTGGTTTTGAATGATGATGATGATGATTAAAGTTGACCTCTGCATTGACTGCCCTGTCTTTATGCCTCACTGACTTTCATAAACCTGGTATTGACCGATTCTGATTCCTTGATACAGGTCTTGTTAAACCACCCTTGAAGAGATCGCGTTCAGCACCTGATGGTGGAGATGAAGAGAATCAGGAGCAGCTGCAGGATCAGATAGCTGAGAATAGCTCTATAGATGAAGAGGAGAAAACTGATAACACAACTTTGCTTCGACTGCTCGAGGAAGGGGAAAAGGTATAAAACTTGTAACCATAGGGTGCCGTCTCAAACTCTGAATTCCCAGATTGTCTTCGAAATGTTTTTCTGAAACAGGAGATTTCTATGTTACAGCTTCTTAACAGTAACGTTCTTTCAGGCCATTTTCCATTTATTCCAAAAGCTTATTCATCCAGTAGCAAATTAATGTAGCAAAAAGAAACAAGGTACCTAACAAAAGGGGATCATCCCCAGGAAAAATGCCACAGTGTTCATTACATTAGGACACTGTTTTTAACAGGAAACTCATATATCTATGAAAAGTAGTAGATTTAATATTTGAAAGCTAACATCTTTCTATAGCTATCTAATAATCATACTTTCCTGTAGCAAATTGTGCTAAGTCACGAGTTCACAAATTCATTGATCCTTAAGGCTATCTTTTCACCATAAATGGCTAGCAGTATATTTAGTTAAGACTCAGTGACAATTGTATAAAAATAATGACTATGGTACTGAAGTGCTGATGGGAACATTCAGAATGCATATGTCCATGAAGGCAGGACCTGGACACTGCTTTTAGTAATACAGTGGTGCCTCGCAAGACAATATTAATTTGTTCCGTGAAAAATGTTGTGTTGTGAAAACATTGTCTTGCGAAATGCGGTTCCCTATTGGAATGCATTGAAATCTAATTAATATATTCCAATAGAGAAAAAATCATCTTGTGAAAATCGTCCATAGAAAACATCGTCTTGCAAAACGCAGTTCCCCATTGGAATGCATTGAAATCTATTTAAAGCGTTCCAATGGGGAAAAATCAGCATCTTGCAAAAATTGTCCATAGAAAACATCGTCTTGCAAAGCGCCAGAGCAATCGCAGAAACAAATCGTCTTGCAGATTAATCATCCCGCAAGGCAATTGGCTTGCGAGGCACCACTGTAGGTCAAAATATTTACACTGGACTCTGTTGTAGGTATAGTTTGAGCTGGTGTTTAGCTTTCATGTTTTAGAAGTTATTTTTCTGTAATCCATTGGGTTCCATTCACTGTTGTTTTGTTTTTGGATTTTTTGGAGGGGTAGGGAGAAAGCAGAAGCACCCCACTCACTTTGCTGATTCACTAATAGAAGCCATTGCATTAATGGAAAAAAAACATGCAGCTTTCCCATTTTCAGGAACATCTGAATTGCTCATTGGTTTACTGTCACAATCAGTTGTCCAATGTTTATAAATCGTTGTTAAGTGATGCTTTTGTATACGATTTGCTTGTATGCTTGAGTATTAAAGAAGCATGCAAGACAAGAGTGTAGAAGGTTAGTTAATCAAAGATAATGAATATCTATTCCTAATTCCTTTTAAACAGATCTGAAAACCTAGTGAGGCTTTGCTTGTAGACTCCATGGAATCAGCATGACACTGGCTGAAAAACTCCCTACTGAAAGTTAGATTAATCATGTAATATGATTATTACATGATTATTATATGAGCCGCCTAGAGTGGCCTTTTAGGCCAGATGGGCGGGGTATAAATCAAATGAATGAATGAATGAATGAATGAATGAATGAATGAATGAATGAATGAATGAATGAATGAATAAATAAATAAAT